AGGGCTCTGTCACCAGCCTAGGCCAGGTGGAAGGAGCCACCACCCAGTCAGCTTTCAAAGGTGACATTCTTCACCTGTGGAGTGACAGTCCTGGCGGGGGAGGGGGGGGAAACACTGTCCTGGCAGGGACTATAGGCAGCCAGGTGTAGGGCTCCGGGCCACTACAGCTTTGCCTGCTCTGGGCTATAAATAGTCCCAAGGCAAATGGCAGATGTGAAGACATTTATCCTCAATTACAGGGGTGATTGTGAGTCTTCAGGCCTCGAGGAAATGTTGCAGTTCTTTAAAAAAAAAAGCAGCTAACCCAAGTTGGCCAGAAGGCTGAGTCTGGGGAAGCAGTGGGGGTGGAGTGGAAGGCTGGGGCACAACAGGCCTGCAGGGGCACCTTGCAGGGGCCGGTGAGGGGCAGCTCCGCCAGCCCAGGAGGGGCCCAGCCTGCCACTGCTAGGCTGCAACCTTGTTCTGTGGGCGGGGTTTACCGAGAGCTGTTCTGGACTGGCACCTGTCCCCTGTCGTGCTGGCCTAGCCGGAAGTCCTGGGCCTGGGGTGTGCCAGGGCCCTGTTCACAGGCCAGGGAAACATCGGCCTCAGGGCCTCAGGGCGGTGCAGTGGCGCCATGGTGCACTTCCCACAGGAAGGACCAGGGATTCCCAAAGAGCCAGGGTGTCCTCAGCCTCTCCGTGCAGGGGTGGCCGCCCCAGCGCCAAGCAAATCCTCTCACCACCTCCCTTCTTTTTTTTTATTTATTTTTTTTTTTTTGGGTCCGGTCACGGGGCCTGAACTCTGGGCCTGGGCGCTGTCCCTAGCTCTTCAGCTCAAGGCTAGCGCTCTACCACTTGAGCCACAGCGCCACCTCTGGCTTTTTTTTTCTCTTTACTTATGTGGTGCTGAAGAATCGAACCCAGGGCCTCAGGCATGCAAGGCAAGCGCTTTACCACTGAGCCAACTTCCCAGCCCGACCACCTCCCTTCTTGCTTGCCCCAGGATGACCAGAGAGGGCCGTGTGTGAGCCCTGGCCCCACGTGCTGGCCGAGCCACTCCCCCCCTTCCCTGAGAGGACACGCGGGCGGCTGTGAATTTAATATTGTAATAACCAAACCCACGGGGCATACAACCATGAATGCATCATAAATTCTGAGGGCCACTAATGAGACCGCACTCCTGCTGGAGCGGTTGTCAGGATAAACACGCAAAATCGATGGCTGCAGCCTGGAAGAGACCCGGAGCGGGGCATGCCTGCTGCTGCTGCCGCCACCACGGCCGGGGCCACTGCACGGGGCCAGCGCGGACAGAAGGGGCCAGCAGCCAGGCCCAGCCTCACACCGCAGCTTAAAGCAAGCCTGTGAGACCCTCATCTCCAATTAATACCAAGAAAACTCGACGTAGAGCTGTGGCTCAAGCGCTAGCCTTGGGCAAAAAAAGCTCAGGGACAGGGCTTAAGGCTCTGAGTTCAAGTCTTGGACCAGCACAGAAAAAAATGGAAGGGGGTGTTATAAAGACAGTAACAGCTAATGTGAAAAAACTTCTGGAATGCAGCCAACCCTGTTCTTTGATAGCTTTCTTCCCCATCCGAAGGGAATCTGACGGGAAGGCGTGCCTCCTCGCTGCCGGAGGCCTAGGCCAGGACTGCTCCACTTCTGCTGTGGATTTCATCTCCCGTCTCCCCGCTGCTCTGGGAAGGCCAGGTGATTACAGTTGCTTGTCTCCTAGTTAAGGGGAGGCTGGGCGGCCTGTGGGAACAGCAGCCTGACAATTGTTGGCCCGTAACTATTGAGCAATTTTTTGCACAATTCAAAACTCATTTTTTTGGCCAAGGAATCGGTTTAACAAACACATCCCACTCTTGCTGAAAATAATTTCTTTTCTTCTCTTTATTTTCTTCTAGGAATAAAGCACTTTAATATATTTGCCAGGAATCAACACTTCATTTAATAAGATTTAAAAAGTGACAATTTAAAGATAAATTGAGAAGTCCCTCACCCCTCCAGGGCTCCAGCTAAAACCAGAGAGAGAGGAGTAGGGAGAAAGCGGCTCTCCTCAGGTGGGTGGCCCTCGGGCGGCCTGGTGGGGGGGAATGGATGGATGGATTCTCCTGCTGCGGTCTCAGGGTGGGGCGGGTTCTGGTGTGGCGTGGCGTGGTCACCTCCTGTCCAGGTGGAGCCGTGGTGCAGGAGGAGGACTCCAGCCCTGTGTGTCTGTCCTGTCCCTCCTGCTCATGTGGCTTTGTCCTACACCTATCTGGTGACACTCTCGAGTGTGGCCTGCAGGCCCGGCTTTCAGGACAGGGCTGAGCTGCCGTGGCCTGGAGCAGAGTGGGTCTGACCAGTCTTGTCCCACCGGCCCATCGCGACAGCGTGAGCTGGGGCCTGAGGGGTGCACGGGGCTCACAGGTTTCAAGTGCCCTGGGACTGGGGCTGCTCCCCCAGTCCTGCTTATCTAATAGAGGTGTCTTCAGAGGGCAGTGGGGCCGATGGCACGGGGAGCCGGGACCTGGCAGAGGTGGTGAACGCGAGGCTGGCGGCGGGGCTCACCGCCACTCCTCTGCCCTTCACCTGCCCGGCCACCTGCCCGGGGCAGCACGGGCTCAGGCAGGCTGGAGGCAGAGGCCCTGGAGATCTCCTGGACATGGGCACAGAGGTGCTGAGCGGACAGCACAGGTAACGGGTGCGGGGCTGGAGCCGCCGCAGGCAGCCCCCCCCGCCCCCACCATGGAGAAGCAGAGATGGGGCTGGGGATGGCCGACCAGGCACTTTTCCCCGCAAGACTGCCGACCCGCAGGGCCCCGCTGCCCACTGTCCACCACAGTCTGGGCACAGACGGCCGTCCCGTGAGATGTGGCCCAGGAGAAAACAGCTGACCGCGCCTCCGCCCCCCCCCACTCAGCCTCCATCCACCCCTCAGCCCCCCATCGCCTCCGTCCCCCCCCTCAGCCCCCATCGCCTCCGTCCCCCCACTCAGCCCCCCATCGCCTCCATCCCCCCCACTCAGCCCCCCATCGCCTCCATCCCCCCCACTCAGCCCCCCATCGCCTCCATCCCCCCCACTCAGCCCCCATCGCCTCCATCCCCCCACTCAGCCCCCCCATCGCCTCCATCCCCCCCATCAGCCCCCCATCGCCTCCATCCCCCCCTCAGCCCCCATCGCCTCCATCCACCCCTCACCCCCCCATCGCCTCCATCCCCCCACTCAGCCCCCCATCGCCTCCATCCCCCCCCTCAGCCCCCCATCGCCTCCGTCCCCCCACTCAGCCCCCCATCGCCTCCGTCCCCCCACTCAGCCCCCCATCGCCTCCGCCCCCCCACTCAGCCCCCCATCGCCTCCATCCCCCCCACTCAGCCCCCATCGCCTCCATCCCCCCCCTCAGCCCCCATCGCCTCCGTCCCCTCCACTCAGCCCCCATCGCCTCCGTCCCCCCCCTCAGCCCCCCATCGCCTCCGTCCCCCCACTCAGCCCCCATCGCCTCCGTCCCCCCCCTCAGCCCCCCATCGCCTCCATCCCCCCCCTCAGCCCCCCATCGCCTCCGTCCCCCCTCAGCCCCCATCGCCTCCGTCCCCCCCCTCAGCCCCCATCGCCTCCATCCCCCCCCTCAGCCCCCCATCGCCTCCGTCCCTCCACACTCAGCCCCCCATAGCCTCCGTTCCCCCCACTCAGCCCCCCCATTGCCTCTGATCACCCCCACTCAGCCCATCTCCTCCGAACCCCCCTAGACCCCAATTGCCTGTTCACCCCCCCACACACTCAGACCCCCCACTGCCTCTGTTCACCACCCCCGCACTCAGCCCCCGCGGCCCTCAGCCCCCCATCGCCTCTGACCCCCTTCAGCTCTTAGACCCCCATCACCTTCAACCCCCTCCCTCATCCCCCCCGTGCGCCTCTGTTCCCCTCCCCGCCCCTCAGCCCCCCCCCCCCCGGTGCACCCCCGTCTCCCCGGCCCTCAGCCCCTCGTGTGTCCCCGTCCTGCAGGCCTGCAGGGTTCTGGAGGCCGCTGCGTGCTGCCGGAGCTGCAGGAAGGGGCCTGGGCTGAGCTGGGAGGGAGGGGGACGGGCCGGGGCAGCGGGGCAGGGCGGCAGCGGGGCAAGGTGGCCGCTGGCGAGCAGCAGGTGGACAGACTACAGCAGTCACTCGCTTCCCCGCCACGAGCCCGCCGCTCTCCGCCGCTCTGCGCTTCGCAGTGGCGTGGCTGGGGCTGGGGGTGGGGGTGGGGGGTCACACAGCGGCTCACAGCCGAGGCTACGCCGAGGCTGGCCGCTGGCTGACCCCCTGGTCTGCCAGGACCGAAGGCAGCAGAGCCGCGGCCAGCCAGGGCTCCTCATGCACTCCGAGTGGCTGCCATGATAACCAGTTCCATCTCGGTCCCCCAAGTTCGGGCTGCTACATTTCAGGGTGACAGGTTACTAACTCAGCAATCTGAGTGATTATTGACTCTAGTCCGGCAGACTGGTTTGCTTATTGTGTCTTTGGTGGATCTTGGTCAGACCAAGAAGCATGATGAGCTACGCTGGGGTCTCCTGCACCCCCCCACCCCGCCCAGCTCCTCAGACGGAGGGGAAGTGGAAAGGGCAGGGTCCCAGGGACAGAGCACATGACTGTCAGAACACCTACGGTAACCCACAAAAATGAGGACCACCTGTGGGCAGAGAACCCTCTTCCGAAGTCACCCTGTGGCCTCCAGGTACCCAAGGCCCATGTGCTGGCCGGGCATCCAGCCGCTCGCTCTGCCCCTGGCCTGTCTAGCATCCTTTGCCTGGGTTAGATGAGAGTCAGGGCCTCCGAGGACTTATGAAGATTGAAGACCTATTTTTTCCCCTGGGGACTAGCCTGATCTGCGAGAGAACGAAGTGGCGCCACTCTCCTTGGGAGTCAAGCTGCGCTGCACGCGTGTGCAGCCAGGCCTGCTCCCGGGGGAGTGGGGAGGGCAGCCGGGCCCCGCAGGGTGCGCCCGCTCTGTCCTGGCCCGCCCGCCACACCGTCCCTCTGTCTAGCTGCACCCAAGTCATGTCTTGTGGGCCGCCTCCTTTATTGGTGCTGTCGGTTGGATGATCGTGAGTCGGGGCTGGGACTGGGGGCCTGCAGGGCGTGGGGGTCGAGCTGCTGGCCGGCAGGGCCCACATCTCCCGTCCCAGATTCCTCGCTGCTTTCTTCCTTCTGACTGTTTTGCTCAGGACACTCAAAGTGCACGCAGTGGAACACCTGGGCAGAAAAAGAGAAGACCAGAGAGTGAGAGGCTGCCAGGCGGCCGCCCCATCCTCATCCCCACCCTCGTCCCCGCCAGCCCAACTAAAGGCTGATCAGTCACCACAAAAGTAAATGCCCTAGAGTCCAAGCATCCTGTATCATGGAGGGGAGAGGGGAGGAGTGCTGGAGGGGGGAGGGAGGAAAGGAGGGAAGGGAGAGTCCCCCAAGATCAGATCTGATAGTTAAAGCTACCCCACATGGGCTCCTACAGTAGCCACAGGCCCAGGGCTCGCGCTCCACACAGTGCGTGCTGAGGCGGCTGGCAGGCAGCAGGCTGGGCTGGGCTCTCACTGCCTGGAGCACAGGCAAAGCACTGGACTCTGATGGGCGCTGTGCCGGCTAGGGTGTAGAAGGGGCGGAACACGCGGCATGGAGAGTGGGAACGTACAGCCCAGGAAATACATAGGAGAACAGCCTGTACAGGATGCCTCAGCTTAGAGCTGTAGCTGAGCCACATCCACATCCCAGGCCAGACCAGAGCCACAGATGCACATGGACGCCAGCACACAGAACCAACCGACCTGTCTTCCCAGGACGTCCTAAGGACCACCTCCAAATTTCAACCCAATAGGCAGCACCTTCTATTTAAGAAATAACAACTGGACACCAATGGCTCACACTTGTAATCCTAGCTGCTCAGGAGGCTGAGACCAGAGGATCATGGTTCAAAGCCGGCCTGAGCACGCAAGTCTAATTAAGCACAAAAAGCCTGAAGTGGTGCTGTGGCTCAAGTACACATGAGCATCTGCAGAGAGCTGTGGCTCACAACCCACAGGGCCAGGGCACTGCTGGCTCCAGGGCGCCTGCAGCCAGGATTGTGGACTGTGCCCTGGGATGCACGGCGGGGCTGGCAGGACACCCCACCAGCCCCGAAGGACAGTGGAAGGGGACGGAGGTGGAGGCAGAGGCAGCAGGGGAGCATGCCGAGCACTCCATAGCCAGAACCTGCACATCTGTACACGCACACGTGCACGCGCATGCTCAAGTTCACAGAGAAACTACGGGAGTCATGCTATAAATATAAACTCCAGGCCCTCTTCCTGCATCACTGCGGTTCCCTTTTCCTATTTGTTCATTTATCAACCACTGTTTCAAAGTTCATGTTTCAAACTCCAGCGAGGAGACGAAGACCATGCGCCTGCCGGTGTGTCCAGGTGATGCCCAGACCAGACCCCTCCCCTAACCATGGGGCCCAGTGCTGCCCAGCCTGCCCCCCCATCTTCCTGTTCTTCCTTCCCTCCCTCCCTCATGTATAAACCTCCCTTACCCTCTCTTCCCCTTCGTATACGCTCCTTCCACCCATCTGGGGCCTTCACCTGTTGAGGGGTGGGCTGGTCAGATGGCACAGCCATGCATAGACCCTTGGGAATGACCAGGGCCACCGGCAATGCCCCGGGCTGGGCGGCGTCCATTTTGAAACCTGCCCCTGCATGTCAGGCATTACTCTACCCTTCCTATTCTTCATGCTTTCACAGAACTAAAAGCCTCTATTGGGGGTGGGGGGGGGAGCCCTTCTTCGGCCTGCTGCACGCAAGTCCTGTGGACCGGCAGCAGGTTCTGCCTGTGTCCTCTGACAAAATGGCCCGGCCCTGCTCTGTCCCCACAGCACGTGCCAGGTCCCCCACCAGCCCCTACACCGCTCCCTGAGCTCGCGGAGCCTCGGGCGGGCAGACACTAATCCCTGAATTGACTTACATTTGTCCTACAGCTTATTACTTCTCAGCTCAGCCCGCTCGCCCTGAATGGGTTTTCTCTCCTTTTTCTCTCACCAGCCTCTTGGCAGGCCGAGCCTGAGCTCCTCCCCAGCGCCTGCCAGCCTTCGGGAGCCTCTGCCTGTGCACTGCACTCAAGGCCTGAGTCCCTTCCACAAGAACTGAATCCATAAATGCCGGGGGCTGGGAAAGGAGTTTCCGGATGAGGTCTTCTTGGGAAAGCCCTGGGAGGGGACAACTTGTGGGTCAGTGGCTCCACGCTGTCCTGGGGCCCGGCTCCAGCGCAGCCTCAGTCTGCGCTTCCCCCCTCCCCCCGCACCACCGGGACCACTGGCCAGTCGGTTTCCAAACAGCAATGGAAATGGCAGAGTGCCTCAGCACTGGCCAGGGCTCTTCTTGGAATACTTCCAGAAGCATCCTAACTGTGTCCTGACAGCCAGCGCCCATCATGTGAGGGGTACTCTGGAGTCCCAGGCCCTGCCCGAGCTGGGCAGCCATGAGGAGCCAGGGCCTCGGGGCCACCCTCGGGAGTGGGGCCTGGCTGGGCGGTGCTCTGTGAGCGTCTGCGCCAAGACACTCAGGCTCTTCCTCCACCCGAGGCCACAGGGGAAATCGTTACGTTTAGTGTGTGTGTGTGAAGGGTCCACGTGAGGCCTGCAGTGGAGGGGAGGCGGGTGCAAGGTGGGCGTCAGTGCAGAACAAAAGACCACTCCAACAGCAGGCAGGGCAGGGTGAGCGGGGTAGCAGGCACCTCAGAGGGCGCTCCTGACCGAGGCGGGCGTGCTTCCAGGAAGGAGACACAGCCCAGAATGCCAGGAAGGGACAGAGGCCAAGCAGTGAGCAGTCCGTCAGGTTGCGGAGTACAAGGGCAATGGCCGAGACAGCCTGGGAACAGGAGCGTGGAAACACGGGCGGGCTGTGGCCCAGGCAGGCAGCTCGGAGCGGGTGCAAGTGCGGGGACTTCTTGCCATTTAATACTCAAAACAGATAATGAAAGGAATATATGTTTGTGGTGATAGTTTAAATGCCATCTACGTGTTTTAAAAGCACATAAACTACAAACCTTTAAACCTTGAAGTTCCTGAGGTAGAACAGCATTTACAAAGAATAAGAAGGAGCTGTTTTGTTTTTGTGTTTGTTTGTTTGTTGGTCGTGGGCCCTGGTCACCGTCCCTCAGCACTTCAGTGCAGGGCTAGTGCTCTATCACTGAGCCACCTTCCCAGCTCTGAGTCTTCATTTTTAAACAGCTCCTTCCCAGGGCTGGGAAGGTGGCTCAGTGGTAGAGTGCTTGCCTTGCATGTGTAAGGTCCTGGGTTCAATTCCGCAGTACCACATAAGCAGAAAAAGCCAGAAGTGACGCTGTGGCTCAAGTGAGTGAGCGCCAGCCTTGAGCTGAAGAGCTGAGGGACAGCGCCCAGGCCGAGTTCAGGCCCCACGACCGACAAAAAAAAAAATAAATAAAGTTAAAAACTCATAGAATTTGACGAGAATTTAGACTGACAAAAGAAAAGATGGGAGACCACAGTGGTCCCTGGGATCTTCTCAAGGGACAGAGCCACCATTCTCCATGTGGCTCCCGGGGCTCAGCTGGGCTGCCCTGGCTGAGCCCTGCCAGGGGCTCTTGGGATCCTGTTGCTGTTACTTATGTATTTATCTAGTTTTGGGGTTTGAACTTGGGGTTTCAAGTTTGCTGGCTAGACAGGTACCCTACCACTTGATCCACACCTCCAGTCTTTTTTGCTCTGGTTCTTTTAGAGGTCCGGGGGTCTCACTTTTTGCTAGGCCTTTTTGTTTAGATCAGGCCATCCTTACCATCCTCCTCGGATCTCAGCCTCCTGCATAACTGGACGGCAGGCATGAGCCACGGTGCTTGGCACTGCCTTTGATTTTGATCTTCAGGGATCGTGCTAGGACCAGCTCTGACCACAAGGGTGTGAGGGTGGGGCAGAGGCAGCCCCACCCGGGGGCTGCCCACTCTTCTCACGTGGAACCCGCCACTCGCCAGGGCGGTGCACTCACTCCCACACGCACACACTGCAGTGCGTGAGGGTGTGCAAGGCTCCTCTCGTCTGGAGAGGACAGGTGCACACACCTGGGCCCTGAAGGGCTGGCAGGTTAGGAGGCAGACAGGAGGGGGTACAGAGAGGGTTCCCACTCAGGGCATCGCAGTGGCAGCCGGTCCTCTCCTGCCCACTCTGGGAACACGGCCTTGCTCAGCTGATGATTCACACTTGCCAGCCGGGGACCAAACACAGCACCAGGGCCAACAGCACCCAGCGAGCCCATGGACCACGGCAGACGTGCAGAATGCTGAGCTACTGGCACCGTCCCACCGCCGCTGAGGGAGGGCAGGGCAGGGTGCCACAGATGGGCCTCCAGAAGGGACTGAATCAGGAAGGTCCTGAATTTCTTCTCAGAGTGGGTGTGAAGCGAGCCCCCCTAGGAAACTGGCCTTCCACAGCAGCCAGGCTGCGCAGGTGGGGCCCGGGCCATCTCCTGAGCCTCACACAGTCCCCCCGCCTCCCCCGGTACGGCAAGGGAGGAGGTGTCTTGAGGTGATGGCTTGGGTGGGTGTCACCACACTGGGGGTGAGGGAGTACTCAGGAGGGCTCCTGTCCATCACGCCACAGCAGGACTCCTCTGGACAGGCCTGTGTCTGCTGGGGCACCCGGGCCTCAGCTTTCTTTTGGCGCAGAAGCCCCCGTGATTCAGTGCGCTCTTCTGAGCCTTCACTTCCCAGGGCGGCACTACCCTCAGAAAGGATGTGACCAGAAGCGAATGAGGCGTACAGGGCAGAGGCACAGCTCTGATTTATGCAAAGCCATTACTCGGCTGCCGCGTCATTTTCCCTTCCCCTTTTTGGCAGTCGTGTATCCCATTAGCCTGTTTGATTGCTGCTGCTCACAAAGGGGCACCTTCGCTGAGCCATCTTCGGCGGGCCCTGGATCTGTCCCTCGAGAGGAGCTGCCTAATTTGCAATGAAGTCGTGTGTAGGGATCTGACACAGCCCCGCCACAGTCTGGCGTCCTTTCTGTAGCTACTGGTTATTATCACTTCGCCTCGCCCTTCTGGGAGCCACAATCCGGACACGTCTCAGGCAGTCTGCTGCGTCCTCTTCCCCATGAACCCTGGGCAGGACAGATGCACACACCCAGTCCCTTCACAGTGACCAGGCGAATGCCCTGGTGTGCACTGCGGCCTTGCCTTAGAAGGACACCCAACAGTCCTGGCCTGATCTATCTT